TAGGATTAATGTAATTATCTTTATACCGAATTAGATTTTTTATTTTGATGAAATTTAATTAATCAGAAATTCAGAGAATAATTACAAATACTTTTATTTTATTTATAGCCACATTTTTATAAATTATCCGTTTAATTATAATTAAAGTATTTATATAGTAATATATGTGACCCTGGAGCACAAAACCAGTCATAAGGGTAAATTTTTCATAATTGAGATTTATGCATCATCTGAATAAATAATCTTTCCATTGATGTATGGTTTGTTAGGATCGGACAATATTTGGCTGAGATACAACTATTTGAAAATCTGGAATCTGAGGGTGCAAAAAAATCTAAATATTGAGAAAATCATCTTTAAAGTTGTTCAAATGAAGTTCTTAGGAATGCATATTACTAATCAAAAATTAAGTTTTGATATATTTACGGTAGGAAATTTACTAAATATCTTCATGGAACATGATCTTTACTTAATATCCTAATGATTTTTGGCATAAAAGAAAAATTTATAATTTTGACCCATACAATGTATTGTTGGCTATTGCTACAAATATACCCCAGCGACTTAACACTGCTTTTGTGCTGCAGGGACACCTATTTAGATATTAATAATTAACATTTTCTGATATATATGTACAGTATATATTGAAAATATTTACATGTCTATATTTATATTCATATAATTTATATTATAAATAAATATACATGCATGTCTGTGTATTTATATATACATAATAAATATACACAGTACACACACACATATATTATGCAAACAAAAACTTTTATTTTGGATGCGATTAATCGTTTGACAGCACTAGTCTTTATCCGTGAAATGTTATTTTGTGAAGTGCGTTCCTCAGAGTATTTGTTGGTTCTAATGAATCACATCTCTCTGTGTCTCAGTGTTTTCTCAGCCCATCATCGGTAAAGCCAAGTCTCAGCTGCTGAAGACTCACTTCCTGCCGCTGATGGAGAAGCTGAAGAAGAAGGCGGCGACGGTGCTGCAGGATGAGGAGCAGATGAAGGCGGAGGGCCGAGGCGAGATGTCCGAGTCTGAGCTCCTCATTCTGGACGAGTTTACCGTCCTGGTGCGAGACCTGTACGCCTTCTACCCGCTGCTCATACGCTTCGTCGACTACAACAGGTGAGAGATGCTCAGGTGCGCTGCGATCGGACTGTTGCTGAGCCGCATCAGTGAATGCTGTTTGTCTTTCAGAGCAAAGTGGCTGAAGGAGCCGAACACTGAGGCAGAGGAGTTATTCCGTATGGTGGCCGAAGTCTTTATATTCTGGGCCAAATCACATGTGAGCCAAACACACACACACACACCCTCTCACACACACACACACACACACACACACACACACAGCAGCACTTTTCATCATGATGTCTGAAGTCTCAGTGTGTTTGAATCAGCTGGTGTTTCGGTGGTTTTTAGTGGATGTATGCACTCAGTTCTGCTCAGATTCACACAGAATCACATGAACTATCAACTTCATTCACACACAATACTGACTGTCTTCATCTTCAACACTACATCTGTTGATTCAGCATTCCTGTCAGTCAAATGTTCTGATTGTAAAGTGTGTTTGTGCATCTTTATTCACAATAAATGGCACCTGATTTGATGTTTTGTATCTAATGAATGACATTCAGACATTTCGAATGTGTAATGTGACATAAGTGAGCAGTAATCAGACATATCATCCAATTCAAATATCAAATATCAAATATAAAACTCAAATGTGACCCTGGAGCACAAAACGAAATTTAGATGTATGCATCATCTGAAAGCTGAATAAATAATTCATTTTCCATTGATGTGTGGTTTGTTAGGATCAGACAATATTTGGCTGAGATACAACTATTTGAAAATCTGGAATCTGAGGGTGCAAAAAAATCTAAATATTGAGAAAATCATCTTTAAAGTTGTTCAAATGAAGTTCTTAGCAATGCATATTACTAATCAAAAATTAAGTTTTGATATATTTACTGTAGGGAATTTACTAAATATCTTCATGGAACATGATCTTTACTTAATATCCTAATGATTTTTGGCATAAAAGAAAAATCTATAATTTTGACCCATATTATGTATTGTTGGCTATTGCTACAAATATACCCCAGCGACTTAACACTGCTTTTGTGCTGCAGGGTCACAAATATAAAACTCAAATATAAGATATTAAAGCAGATCATCATCTGTAAACATGAGTGAAGTTGGGTATTGAGGTGTTCAGAGCGTCTGAAGTCTTTAGTGAATCCTTTGGTTCAGACAACAGTGAACAACATTTGATAAATTTTCTATTTGTTCCCCGACAGAACTTTAAAAGAGAAGAGCAGAACTTTGTGGTTCAGAATGAAATCAACAACATGTCCTTCCTCATAACTGATACCAAATCCAAGATGTCCAAGGTACGACATCACACACACACACACACACTCACACTCTCACTCACACTCACACACTCACACTCACACTCACACACACACACACACAC